GAATCTGCCTGCCAATGCAGGGGACACGGGTTCAAGCCCTGGTCCGGGAAAATCCCACATGCCGCGGAGCAACTAAGCCCGTGCACCACAACTACTGAGCCTGCGTTCTAGAGCCCGCGAGCCACAACTACTGAGCCCGCGTGCCACAACTACTGAAGCCTGCGCGCCTAGAGCCCGTGCTCCGCAACAAGAGAAGCCACTGCAATGAGAAGTCCGCGTGCCACAACGAAGAGTAGCCCCTGCTTGCTGCAACTAGAGAAAACCTGAGCACAGCAACGAAGACCCAAAGCAGCCCCAAATAAATAAATAAAATAAAAAAGAGAAAATAATGTCTTTTCACAGTTCTCAATATTCATTCATTTATTTATTTATTTTATTGAATATAGTTGATTTACAATGTTGTGGCAATCTCTGCTGTATAGCAAAGTGACTTAGTTTTACACATTCTTATTTAAATATTCTTTTCCATTATGGTTTATCACAGGAGATTGTGTATAGTTCCCTGTGCTATACAGTAGGACCTTGGTGTTTATCCATTCTAAGTGTAATAGTTTGCATCTACCAATGCCAAATTCCCAGTCCATCCCTCTCCTCCCCCCACCCCCCGGCAACCATAAATCTGATCTCTATGTCTGTTCTGTAGATAGGTTCATTTGTGCCATATTTTAGATTCCACATGAGAGTGATATCCTATGGTATTTGTCTTTCTCTTTCTGACTTACTTCACTTAGTATGATAATCTCTAGTTGCATCCATGTTACTGCAAATGTTATTATTTTGTTCTTTTTTATGGCTGAGTAGTATTCCATTGTATATATGCACCACATCTTCTTTATCCATTCATCTGTTGCTGGACATTTAGGTTGTTTCCATGTTTTGGCTATTGTGAATATTGCTGCTATGCACAGTTCTCAATATTTAAATGAAACAGGTGATGGAAACTCATCTACTCTTTTTTTAAAATTAATTAATTTATTTATTATTTGGTTGCGCCGGGTCTTAGTTGTGGCCTGCAGCCTCCTTAGTTGTGGCTCGTGGGCTCCTTAGTTGCGGCAGGTGAACTCTTAGTTGCAGCATGCATGCGGGATCTAGTTCCCTGGCCAGGGATCAAACCCGGGCCTCCTGCATTGGGAGTGTGGAGTCTTAACCTCTGTGCCACCTGGGAAGTCCCCTCATCTGCTCTTGAGTGGGCCAATTTATGCACCATCTGTTAGGGAAGAACTAAATGGGAACTCAAGCTCTAGACTTGTCTTGTTCCAGCCATTCTTTAGGTTAAATTACATCAGCCCTGGAGTTTATGGAAAGAGATCATGGGAAGACTGAGTGTTGAGGTGGAAAGAGTGCCTGTCCTGTGTCAGGTTAACCTGGGTTCTTGCACTGGCTCTGCCAGTTACTAGCCACTGAGATCCCAGGCAAGTCAATTAATCCATGCATTTCTCAGTTTTCCAAAATGAGAATAATACCATGTGCTTCATGTGGTACTTGAGGAGATAAGTGAAGGAATACATAGTATAAAGTGCATAGCAATTCACCAAAGCAATAAAAGTGGCCAATGCTAAAAAAAAAAGTTCTTCCTAACTAGGAATCAAAGAAATGCAAATAAAGAGCAACGGGATACCACTTTCGCCTACCAAACTGACAGATTAAAAGAAAACAAAGCTAATAACATGATGCTGGAGGGTGTGGAAGCAGATATTCTCATATTTTGCTCAAAAGAATGTAAATTTGTACATTTCTGGAGATCAGTTTGGCAACATTTTTAAGAGCCTTAAAAATGTTCGTGCTGGGACTTCCTCGCGGCGCAGTGGTTAAGAATCTGCCTGCCAATGCCGGGGACATGGTTCGATCCCTAGTCCGGGAAGATCCCACATGCCGCTGAGCAACAAAGCCTGTGAGCCACAGCTACTGAGTCTGTGCTCTAGAGCCTGCGAGCCATAACTACTGAGCCCGCTACCGAAGCCCTCGCGCCTGGAGTAGCCTAGAGCTACTGAAGTCCTCACGCCTAGAGCTCGTGCTCCACAACAAGAGAAGCCACCGCAATGAGAAGCCCACGCACTGCAAGGAAGAGTAGCCCCCGCTCGCTGCATCTAGAGAAAGCCTGCATGCAGCAACGAAGACACAGTGCAGCCAAAAATAAATAAATAAACAAATTTAAATGTGGCATGTTTAAAAAACAAAAAAAGAGTACATAACTGGCGGGATTATATTTGCAGAAGAGAAAGTAAATATTATAAAAAATAATGTTCATGCTCTTTGATCCCTGATTTTACTTCTAGATATTGAGCCTAAGGAAATAATGACATGTAGGAGGAAAAAGATATTGTATATCTATATCTATAAATTTGTTCATATAAGTTCTTTATATCAGGGGTCCCCAACCCTGGGGCCACGGTCCGTGGCCTATTAGGAACCGGGCTGCACAGCAGGAGATGAGCGGCAGGTGAGCAAAACTTCATCTGCCGCCCCCCATCACTTGCATTACCACCTGAACCATCCCCACCCACCTTCTCTGTGGAAAAATTGTCTTCCATGAAACCGGTCCCTGGTGCCAATAGGGTTGGGGACCACTCCTTTATATGACAGAAAATAATATGGTAATTATGAATTTTCACAACCTTCCTCTCTCCCACAAGGCAAAAAGAATGTTTTGCTGCTCGATTGGTAAAGTGAGGGTATTGGGTCCTGGAGAAAATGCAATGGAGCTTCAATTTAATTAACATTGAAAAAGGCAGATATTTATAGGAGAGTGGGAAGAATTTTATCAGACTGTTTGGCGTCAGGGACCAAAGAGATGATGGGAAAAGGAAGGAAGGAAATGGAGAAACCAGGAAAAGCCGAGGAAGGAAGGAAGGGAGGAAGTTTCAAACAACTGTCCTCTGCATGAAGTATTAAGAGAAAGAGGGAGAAGAGAAGAGAGGATTTTGAGAAGCTTTGCTATGTCTTATTAATGGAATCTCCCTTTGGTTTTGTTTTTTTTAATATATTTATTTATTTTATTTATTTATTTTTGGCTGCATTGGGTCTTCGTTGCTGCGTGCGGGCTTTCTCTAGTTACGGCGAGTGGGGGCTACTCTTCATTGTGGTGCGCAGGCTTCTCATTGCGGTGGCTTCTCGTGGCGGAGCACAGGCTATAGGCGCGCGGGCTTCAGTAGTTGTGGCACGCAGGGTCACTAGTTGTGGCGCACGGACTCCGTAGTTGTGACACACAGGCTTAGTTGCTCCGCGGCATGTGGGATCTTCCCGGACCAGGGCTCGAACCCTTATCCCCTGCATTGGCAGGCAGATTCTCAACCACTGCACCACCAGGGAGGCCCCTCCCTTTGGTTTTATCTTGAGAAAGTGAAGATTTACTTTTCTTTTTCTTCTCATTCTCCTCCTTTTTCCTTGATTCTTTCTTTTATTTTTAAATGCTGGAATGATGTTTCTGTAAAATCTTAGCTTGAGCTACCCGTCAGCTTGGTTTTATAGGGGTTATATTTAAAACAGTAAACATAATTAGACACACTCTGAATATCCAAGAATAAGAAATTGGTTAAATAAGTTAACTAGTTTATAAGTTAAATAAGTTAGCGCATGTCTATAGCCATTGACATACTGAAGAATATTTAATAACATGAATACTTGAATAATATATTAAGTGAAATAGGTTATGATCCCAACATGGTGTGTGTGTGTGTGTGTGTGTGTGTGTGTGTATTGTTATGTATCATCAAAAAAGACGGGAGGTCAGTATACTAATTATTAACAGTGATATGTTTAGAATTACTGATTATTTTTATTTTCTTAATGCTCATCTAAATTTTCTGAATTCCCTACATTGATCAAGTAATACTTTTATAATCAGAAACCTCCTTACCTTAAACCTTATTTTTTAAAGTGAGTAGCACAAGAACCATACAGCTTCCAGATAAAGTACAGAAGAGTATCTTTGTGACCTTGAAGGAAGCAAAGATTTCTCAGCAGGACAGAAAAAGCACTAGCCATAAAAGAAAAAATTGAAAACTTGGACTTCATCCAAATTATAAATATTTACTCATCACAAGACATCACTGGGACTTCCCTGGTGGCACAGTGGTTAAGAGTCTGCCTGCCGATGCAGGGGACACGGGTTTAATCCCTGCTCTGGGAAGATCCCACATGCTGTGGAGCAACTAGCCTGTGTGCCACAACTACTGAGCCTGTGCTCTACAGCCCGCGAGCCACAACTACTGAAGCCCGTGCACCCTAAAGCTATGCTCCACAACAAGAGAAGCCACCGCAATGAGAAGGCCGCGTACCACAATGAAGAGTAGCCCCCACTTGCCACAACTAGAGAAAGCCCAGGCGCAGCAGTAAAGACCCAACGCAGCCAAAAAAAAAAAGACATCACTAAGAAAATGAGTAGACAAATGATAGACTGGGAAAACAGTTTTCATTTTACATATACATGACCAAGGATTCATATCCAGATAATTTAAGGAGTGCCTATAAATTAACAACAAAAAGTTGAGCTACCCAATTAAAAAATGGGCGAAAGACTTGAAAAGATGCCTCACAAAAAAAGAGATATAAATGGCCAATAAGCCATGAAAAGTGCTTGTAGTAAATGCTATGATGTGCCACTCTGATTCTCCTTTTGGAATGAAGGACTTACTCCTCAGCTGTTGGAAAGGCTGCCAGCAGACAGCTTTCAATCAGTCCACTTCAGTGATTGCCTCTGCTGAAGAGCCCTGACTTTCCCAAGGTCAAAGCTTATACACACATACACACACAATGAATTGCTCTAGGCACTAAGTAAATGTTTAATAAACAAGAGCCTCATCTCGCAGTGGTCTACATCCAGTGACTAATCAACATGGGGGTACAAAAACCCAGCCACTTGTCCAAACTCAGAACATTTTTGACGGCTCATCCCAGGTTCAGCGCTTTCTGTAAGGTCAGCTGAGGCCTCTGACACTACATTATATAATAGCTCAACTTCTTCCCTTGCTCAATCATGCTCTGTCTCTTCTCTTCCACAGATGTTGAGCCCAAGTGCACTCCCTAAAAAACCTCCTGCCAACTAATCTCCCAGTGAGTCTGCTTCCAAGGGAATTCAACCTGTGACAATGCTCAACATCAGTAATCATCAGAAAAATGCAAATTAAAACCATAAGGAGATGCCATTTTACATCCACTAGGAGGGCTAAAAAAAGACAACACCAAATGTTGGTGAAGATGTGGAAAAACTGGAACCCTCATATAGTGCTGGTGGGAGTGTAAAAAGGTACCACCATGTTGGAGAATTGTTTGGCTATTTCTTATAAAATTAAATATATATTTAACCCGTGACACAGCAATTCCATTCTTGAGTATGTAGCCAAGAGAAATGAAGACATATTTATATAAAGTTGAACAAGAATACTCATAGGTAGCCTTAGTTATAGTAGCCCCAAACTGGAAATAATACAAATGTCTATCAATAAGAGAAGGAATAAATAAATTACAGTATAGTCCTACCATACTACTCAGCACTATAAAGGAATGGAGTACTGATACACACAACATGTGTAGATTAAAAACATTATGTTGGGGCTTCCCTGGTAGCGCAGTGGTTAAGAATCTGCCTGCCAATGCAGGGCACATGGGTTCAAGCCCTGGTCTGGGAAAATCCCACATGCCGCGGAGCAACTAAGCCCGGGCACCACAACTACTGAGTCTGTGCTCTAGAGCCCACGAGCCACAACTACTGAAGCCCGCGTGCCTAGAGCCCGTGCTCCGCAACAAGAGAAGCCACTGCAATGAGAAGCCCACGCACCGCAACGAACAGTAGCCCCTGCTCGCTGCAACTAGAGGAAAGCCTGCGTGCAGCAACGAAGACCCAACGCAGCCAAAAATAAAAACAAATAAAATAAATAAATTTAAAAACAAACAAAATTATGTTGTATAAAGCCACACACGTACACACACATACACCCCCCCACACACACACACACAACACATACTAAAAGATTCCATTGACATGAAGTACAGGAACAGGCAAAACAAATCTACAGTGACAGAAATCAGAAAGTAGTTGGGTTGCTCGGGTGAAGTGGGGGCAGGAATGGGGATTGACTGAAAAGGCCATGAGGAAACTTTCTGGGGTGATGAAAATATTCTATATCTTGTTTTGACTAGTAGTTACACAGTGGTTACAATTGTCAATATACATTGACCTGAACATTTAAGATTTCTCCATTTTCATTGTATGAAAATTATATTTCAGTCAAAGCTTATACACACATACACACACAATGAATTGCTCTAGGCACTAAGTAAATGTTTAATAAACAGGTGAAGAGGAGATGACTTTTCTAAAGAACCAAATTATTAATAATTATGGAAAAGATTTCCCTTTCCTGGGTTATAGTAAAATGTGATTCTCTTGGGATATTCCTTGATTAAAACTCTGAATATTTATTCTTCTGGTGTTTTTCCCGTCTGCATTAATATGGTTAAGCTTTGATCTCTCCCAAAATGGCAGAATCAGGTCTATAATGTCTGGCTGCATCATTTGCAGGTGAGTGGAAATGCTAAGAGGATATTAAGATAGTAACAGTGGTGAGAGAAAGAAATAAAAAACCATCATTGGTTTCCCAGTGCGGTAGATCAGCATTTGGCTACGATTCCACATAATCGGGCCAACATCACTCTCAAAGCAATTTCTCTTATAAAATATGGCACAATCGCCACCCTATTTTGAACATGGGTATTTAATCTCAGAAAAACTATTTAAAGTATTTGAAATATTTGAAGAGACAAGTTGATTTTTATGGAGCTGGTTGATATCAACCTATGCTGTTTTCCGCTAAAGTTAATACCCTGGGGAATATGAAAATTAGAAGAAGAGAGTCAGAGAATCCTTTTAGGGGTTTCATAACCTAAAAAACTAAACATGACAGAATGCCAATGACTCTCAAGAGAAAGATTTTTGTAAACACACAAAGCTACTTTAAAATTCCCTTTAATAAAATCAAACAGTTCAAAAACCATTGTCTGCCATCTTCAAAATCTGAAAGACTACTGGTGGAGTTGCCAGATTTAACAGAATCTTCAATTAAATTTGAATTTCAGATAAACAATGAATAGTTTTTAGTATAAGTATCCCCCCCAAATATTGCATATTTTAGTATTAGCAGGTCCCATGAAATATTTGAAACATATTTATACTAATAAACAAGTTATTAAAAAAAAATTGTTGTTTATCTGGAAATCAAATTTAACTAGGCGTCCTGTACTTTATCTGGCAACCCTAGTACTGGGGAGAGTTATTTGGCCTCCTCTGCAGAACATGAGGCCCCACCTGGCTGATGAGAATGTGCCTTTAGGGTTACTACATGGAATTACAAGGTTAGCAATGGTCATGGTTAAAGGAAAAGAACTGAACCTTTCTTCTGCTCCATGGATTTCTACTCTCTCTTTCACACTGAAGAAATACTGTGAAAAGCATTTCAATGTATTTCTAATTATTTAGAGTGGTAATGGATTAGTTGTACTAAATAAAGAGTATACCTCATTTGGATCTCTAGGGTTTGTTTGCGTAGGGGCTAAGAGCCTAGGATTAACCGTATGGATTTATGAAACTAGAGAACTTGTTTCTCTTGCTAGGTTTGCTAGTCCTAGTGAGGAATGAACAGACCTGGTTTTGTAAAGCAGTTGGAAGACTTCGAAGTTGCTGCATGCAAATATTTTCTAAGGAAGTTATTCCCACCACCTCTTTCACTAAAGGATTACCCACATTGTTCTGGTTTTATAGGAATTGTTACTGTGGCAGATCTCCCTATTTGACAGATCTCATCCTCTTTAATGGAGGCTGGAGTACTAGTACTCCAGAGGTAGGTTGAAAACAGCAACATTGCTCTGAGTCTGTTTTGAACGCTCATGGAGGGAGCATTCTTTCTAGCAGCAGCTGATGCTCTGCAGCGTGGGATTCTATTACCTTCATTTGAGCTGCCTGGTTATTCTAGCAATCAGATCTTTCTGTCTCCTTCCTGTTACCTGGCCTTGACACCAGCTATCATGTGCCCACTTTGCCTTGACTCGGAGGCCCACAATTCTTCTTTCATTTTCTTTAAACTCATTTGCCAGAATATTGGAATTTCTAGAACATTTACATGGCTATGACAACAGTGGAGAATATTTGAAATCAGGACTGTCCAGTAAAATCTAGGGCATGTAGTCCCCCTAATATTTCAACACTTGTCCTCTGACAGTTACTTAGGACAGCATGGGTATTTGGAAAGGAGACAGGACTGGGAATCAGAAATTCTTCTCTTCGTGGCTTTTGTCACTGCTTTGCAGTTAATTTTAGGCAAATTACTGCGTCTATCTCTGTCACTTTCTGATCCTTTTTATTTGAAACCCCTTATAAAAATAATAAAAAAGAACAAAGCAAAAGGAACTCATTTTCAACTTACTCTGCCTATCCTTAAAACTTAAGTTTGAATCCTAGTGTTTGTAATGCAGCATATTGGGCTTCTCTGTCCATTTACCATGAGGGTGGGGAAAGTTAGGGAAAACTAAGGCCTTAAAGACTTTACCATTTAATTTTAACTTCTTGTTTAGGAGTGTCTGCTTTCAGGAGTGCAATTTGTAAATTTCAAGTCTGAACCCAAGCTGGATAGAACTATAGTATTCTAATTCCCGGAAAAAATAAAAGGGGCTTGTAAACTAAAGAAAGTGATTTACTCTGTCAGACAGTAAGAATAGCACAATCTGTAAAACAATGTCTCCTTTTTCTCTTTTCTGCCTTTTCAATTCCTTTGATCCTGTCAGCCTCCCCTCCACATATGATATCCTCTTAAATTGAGATAAGATAGTGATGAATCATGTTAGTAAAAGTACATAGGGCCAAACAAAGATGTCATATTTTGGCATCACTTGGCACTGAGACACATCAGGACAGGGCAGAAAGAGTTCAGGATTTCCTGATGCAAAGTTCCTAAAACTGTGGTTCCCACTAAGTGGTTAATGTAGGTTTGGGGCAAGAAAAATACAAATTTCTCCTGAATGTTGGAATTATGCCTTTTTGCCTAAAGAGTTTTGTCTTTTTTTTTTTTTTTTTTGGCCTGCCCTAATTCCTGATGTCAGGTCCCCAGGGTATCTGTGCTCTGCCTCATTCTCAGTGAATGTATATTTTATACAGTGTGATCACACTTTGGACTAAAATAGACCATATCTAGAAATCTGCTGGTACAGCTTCCCAAGGACTAAAGAATATGAACAGTTTGAATTGTTTTTTGTGTCTGTGGCTTCTTCTTGAGTCAATTCACAATATAGAGATGTTACCCTCTAGATTTTATTTCGGAAAAAAACTGCATCAGATCCCAAAGGCTAGCCTCCATACCAAGACTATTTTCCTAGTAAATGCAGAATATCTGCAAAGGAAAGGGGCCTAGATGCCTACTTTTCAGTCTCTCTTCAGCTCTGGCATTTTTTTTATTGAGGACAAGATAACTTTCAGTTCAGTCCTGTGCGTAAGCAGGCCACAAGCCAATTTCTAGTTCCCCCTACGCTTTTCAAGTGTTTATTAATCTTGACTCCAATGCAAATCCTGTAGGGAGGCTGGCAGCAGCAGATTTTCATCCTCAGTTATTTAAGATGTGGCTAAAACTTCAAAGGCAAATTGCTCTCATAAAATCACATCCTGTAAGACGTGATTTCACCAGGTTGGCAGGCCTTAGTGTTTTGAGTATCTTTTCTTCACCCCACCCTTAACCTAGGGTTGGACAGAGGTGAGATTATTCTCTTTGCTAGGTATGGGGTCAGGTCTTGAAGAAAGACTAATTCTGATGTAAATTCTTTCTTGTCAGGGATTTAAAAAACAAATAGAAATAGAGCCAAGGGTGGAGAAACTGAGGCTATCTGACTGTTGCCAAGTTGCTGAGACTAATCCTTTTGGCTACTTCACTGGTCTGGTTCAACCTAAGCCCTCACTATTTTTTTTTGGATTTGAAGTCAAGGCAACACCATTGCTAAGTCAATTCCAGCATGCCAGCTCCAGAACACTGTAACCTTTAAAGTCTTGGGATTCCGTGGGAAATATAGCAGCATTCCAGAGACCCACGCATCAGACACAGACATATGCATTCTTCCCTGCAGCAGGGGGCGTTGGCCTTACTCCCTAAGTGATGTCCTCAGGAGTCCAGCCGCTGATCCTTCATAAGAGGACAGGGTCAAACAGGCTCATCTCAACTTGAAGATCACCAGCAAAGGGCCTGGGTTTACTCATGTAGTTGCCCAGTCACTTGGGATTGGTAAATAATCCTGGAGTAGTAGTAGTAAAAAAGGAAGCAGAAGTACTGAAAAAA